ACACACACACACACACACACACACACACACACACACACACACACACACACACACACACACCACCACCACCACCACCACACACACACACACACACACACACACACACACACACCCACCATCGTACTCTTACGCAAGATGATCTCGTCGAGTGAATTTTCCAATTCCGATAACGCTGAGACAGAAATTTATATTAAAATTACCAAGTCACTCGACAACAAGGATCTTCGAACGCGAATTAATCAGGGTGACATAACAGAGTGAAATCGATATTAAAAATAATGAATGTATATTCGGAAAGTGCTGATTGGAAAATGTTTTTGTCGATGTGTATATACATTATATATATATATATACATTCGATATTTAAAATTCTAAGAAACGCGAGTAGTCTCGTCTTCGACATAAAGTAAACCCCTGGTCGAAGATAATACGGTTGTATTGTCCTATTTGTCTAAATGATTAAGGATCCCAGCGGGATCGATACGGATGCAAGGGGGTGTTACACAGGGCTGTCGAGTAAAATGTTACACCGTAATATCGATGTAAAAAAAATCTCCGTAGGCTGATCGTCTACCTCGTGACTCATCTCTAAACTAAAGAAGAGGCGAAGACGTGAACTTGATCCTCGTTGGTGCATCATCGCGTAGTGGACAGTGATGTCTCGAGAATTGGGATTGGGGAGGGGAAGGGAATAAAAGAGAGCACGAGCCCTTTTTTATTTTTCTTACAACGACGACGTACTTTACGTGCGCGTAGCGTATGAAAGTCAGCCAATATGTATCTGTACGTGAAACGTAATAAAGGCGTGTTTATGGCAGCTGGACTATTACTTCATCTTCAACCAACTTTAGCTTCATTTCAATAGTTAGTAAACGGAGGCCACTTGAAAAGCTTATTAAAAATTCAACATACATTACACATTTAAACCTTTAGCGGTATTTATACAGCAACACCCTTCAACACCCCTTCAACTCCTTAATTTTAGAAAAAAATGATTAGCTTTTTATTAGCTCCCCTTAATTTAAATTTCAATCAATCGAAATCGCGATCCGATGATCCGATGATAAGCAAATCGGCAATTGAATTTCTTCCTTTCCTCTCACTTTCGCATCGTTCGTTCAGCCGGTGAAAAGCGGCTCTGCACCGCTGGCCCGCGTTGCCCGCGCCTCTGTCACATCTTGGAAAGCGTCATAGTTTTCCTGGTTATAGCCGTCGACTAGCGGCTATATATATACGCTTGTGCACACGAGTGTACAGAGTAGATAAGCATAAACGACGGCACGGTGTAAGGCTTAAGCGTGCATCCACAGCGAACGCACAGCGAAGGAAAGAGGGTGACAGTCGGTGACGGATCGTCCGATTCGCGGTTGGCCGGATGACAGTTCGCGCGTGGTTTCCTCGGCGTCGCACGTGTCCCCGATCGTGTTCGTCCTCCTCGTGGCCCCTCGTACCCCTCCGCGATATCCCAGATAACCCAGGGACAGCGAGATGTCAAATTATTCGTATTACTACGTGAAAACCATCGTCGAGGATGGCCGGCCGAGGACGTACAAATTCGCGAAAGGGTAAGCCTCGCGCGTCATCTTATAATCCCTGCGAACGAATTCTGCAACGGTTTGATTTCGCGAGAGAGGAGATGAGACAGACAGGCCACGTGTGTGTGTAACATGGAGCATGGAGCATCTGTCATCGCGTGTTTCGCGTTCGGCTTTTCGTTTTTTAAATGCCTTCCTCTCTCACGAGAAGATTTGGTGGAATGTGAAATTCGCAGAAATTCGATGCTGTATCCCTAAAGAATGTCGCCCCTGATGAGCGACACAAAATTGTTGTGTCATGTAAAGTTTATTTTTACTGTAATAAATATTACTTGGAAATTAGTTAGAAAATTTACGTTAAACTAGAATAATTAGGAGGACAAGAAAGTAAAGACAAAAGCTTCGATTTATTTATGTCCGCGGGAGATTCTTTAAATGACTTAAAAAAAAAAAAAAACAATCAACCTTGTTTCTTTATTTTAGCGAATTAATCGATATCGATTTATTTATTCCGACATTTGATATCTAATTTATCAAAAAATATTTATTTTCTCTCATCAGTCGTTTTTTGGGAACGTTATTCTATGCACTTTATATCCAAGAGGAAAAAGGAAAAACAAATTTCTGTTTAGATATCCCCTTCAAGCGACGAAAGATGCATGGACAACTTTAGGTCGCTACAATCTTCTTTCGCGTCTGCTGCGAGGAGGTCTCTCCGGTTCTGGCGATGTGCACCATCCAGCCCACAGCACCTTCAAGGTTTGTTATTCACATACAATTCCTCTACTATGCTGTATATCGCCATTTATCAAGCCTTTTGCCTTTTTCATTACACTTATGACAGAAAAAAAACTTCAACGTGTAACTTTTAATGTCGTTGCCTCGCCAAATTCGTCGATTACTTATTATTATTATTATTGTGATTTTGAGGTGCAGTGCACGATTCGCAAAAAGAGCATATTTATCCCAGAAATTTGAGCATGCCAATTGGGTATCTACTTTCCTCTTGGCTCTCCAATATCTTCTAGCTCTCTGTGAACGACGATGGACAACGTGCCGCACGTGCCGAACACGTTCGACGATCTAGACTTTCTTATAATCGCAATTTTTTTTCGGATATATCCCTGGCACACCGCCAAATTCACTCTTAAATGTACAACACAAACCCTCTCGTATGCGCGGACCGCGATGCGTATCGTCGACATATTTTTAGGCCCTCCACATCTGAGATTCTGCTCTTATACTCATACCTTTGCACAACAGCTTTATATTTCAAGCTAATATTTCAAAATCCTCTTTAAGACTATTGACTCTTTAGAAGGAATTTTGCAAAATCTCTTATAAAGCTGGGGATTTATCTTTTTTTTTTTAACAACAAACATAGCATTTCAATTAATAAGTTCTTAAATTAAAAAAATATAAAAATTTAATTTAATTTTTATCTCATCTAAAGTTTATGCATCTTATGTTTTAAATCTGTATGATTACAAAGTTCTATTAATTTAATTATTTCAAAGATCTTCGAAATTCAATCTCGAACTTTATTAAAAGTTAATATCGCGGCATTAGACATTTAAATTAAACTGTGTGTAAACGAAATATTGATGATAGAAAACGATAAAATAAAATAATAAAATAAAATTATACGTAAATAATAAATTAAAAACATTCGCAATATTTAAGCTTTATAAATAATATTTAAGGTCTGAAGTTTTGTAAAGATTAAAAGAATGAATGTTTATCTCGTGTACGTTTATTGTCATTAAAATGTTTACGATCTATTTATGCAATAATGATTCACGTCTGTTGGTTTAATGCCAGAATATCTTTATTAAAGCCAAGATTTCCACTGACAACAAAATGTGCGTGACGTTAATTAAATTGACTCATTATCTAGTTTACTTTGACGTGTAGCTTTCTGCTGATAGCGATTGTTTTACGAAGTACATAAAATATCGTCGATATGATGCAGCAAAATAAGAACGTTAGCTGTTCTCACAACGTAATGATTCATCAGCTTCTTCAAAATTCTCAAAATAACGCTCGTGAAATTAGTCGACCGAAAACGTACTTTGTGGCTTTGACTCGAGACTCATTTTTATGTGTTTTGAACATCGTCGCAAAAGCTATCTTTCCTATGAAATTCAGATTATTTGTCAAAGCTTAAAACTAAAAGGAGATAACGATGACATATTAATTTTTGCTTAACAAATAAGTATAAATTAATTTTGAATTAAAAAAAT